TTTTTTTTTTTAGTCGAACATGATATATATTTTTATTTAAGAAACATTTTTACCTCACGTTACACACGTACGGTCAGTCCCTTTAGTATTCGTACCTTCTATGCCTATTGAAGAAATCAATCTATATTAAATGATAAGTTTGATGTTTACGAAAACAAAAGATTTATTATAAATATGTACACAAATAAACTTCGCACTAGAATCGATCTTTACGCAATTTAAACAAATTCATTGAAGAGATTAAATTCATAAAAATAGTTTACTTAAATATTTCGTAATGATACACGTATACGTAAAAAGTAATGTATAGTTAGTGTAGCTACAATATTTAACCTCAATCCCGAGACGCCGACTGTTTTTCTGTCGTTCGAGTTTGATAACTCGTTGCCTCGTAGAACGCAGTTTTTCTGAGAAAACGAATGACTGAACACGGTGTATTCAACGCCTACCAAGCACGAGATTCAGTCTGAGCCCCTCGAGACTTCGTTACTAATTGGCTCAGAGTATCAACGACCTTTCTTACAAGGTTCCTTTTCCCAGCAATCAGCAGAAATCCATTAAAATCGAACGAAAGTCGATCTTTCAACCTTCTTGTATTATACCATTGTAGAGATCGAATTTCAAATAACACAAAATGAGTTAAAAGCAAACGAGATTTCAGAAAAATACAAGTTACAATTGTATTACATACATATAAAGTACGTCACTATAAAAGTATCAACAATTGGATTGAATTAACAATTGAAACGATTTTGTCGTTTGTAGGTTCTTGACAAATTTGTACATTAAAATACTGCTAACTTTTAGTGGTAAGAACGAATTGAATTATCTTTCTTGGCTTTTCAAACATATACATAAATTTAAACTAAAAATAATTGATAGAACAGTTTTCTAAATTTGTATCTGTTGATCCGAAATTTTCCTCGTGTATCTCAAATGATTTGTATTCATCTTTATTTTCCCGTAACAACCTGTTCTAATGCGTCCATTTCGCGCCACCGTGATTCTAGATTTACCCTCGAGTTCGTTCGACCGAATTTTTTAATTAACATCGATATTGGAACGATTAATTGGCACCTCCCGAACACTGCAACGAACAATACAACGACCACTCTTAATCGTATAGAATTTTCTCAAATTTGTCACTTTTACATTTCCAAAAATGTATTTTCAAAATTTACCTTACTTCCACACTCTTAACAATTCGAAAAAAAGTAGAGCAATAGTTGACCCAAATTTTGCATACTTGTGTCGACAGTCATGATGACCAGGTGAACCAAGAAATATTTAGAGATGATCACATGGAAAAATTAGAGTGACGGTACTCGTATAACGAGTGACCCACGATGTCGGCTAGGCGCGAGTTAATCGATTCGTCCTTCGTTTAAACGTTCTAACATCGACCCTGATTAGCTCCTTTGGGCGGTGACCGTTCCTCGATACGTGCGCGAGGTCGTGACCAATCATTGTCGTCTGCAAACGTAATTAACAGTTTTGCTGGCCAGTCTGTAATCATCGGTGTCTTCTAGTCTTACTTTTCGAGCAAGAATCTCTTATCAATAGGCGTGTAGAAATTCTCTCTGTGCCTTTATAAGGTAAATTTACTCCAAAAGAGCGCATACGTAGGTTGCTACTTTAATGTAACAAAATGGCAGGTAAATGTTTCTGTTTAAACTAGAATTATAAATAAATAAAATGCGAAGACAGAGACATTAATTTCTACATTTAATAATTGCAAGACTACCGAACTTCGTATATGTTAATAAATTATAACGATCATCAGGTTGAGACTTAGGTTATGTATACGGATTAATTGTAATGGCGATCAGGTTGAAAACTTAGAATTAAATGGTTGGTAATTTCGTCCTGTATATTGCACTCTTGGGTGGTGCGCAACAGCTGTCTCTGTAACTAGGAGTTGACAGGTCGGGTCACCGTCTACGTCTACGATCCATTACCCAAGACACTTGATTTAACATCATTAACAGCTCGTAGCGTTGAAACGTACCTCGCGTCTTCAATCGACATGATTATGTCACGCGACCTCTCTCATTGGAATTAATCAAATTCGCGCCGCCTGGACACTTCAGGAATATACGTGCTCGGTGTTCATAATACAAAAGCCATATCGATTCATGATCCCGGGGATCCAATTAATCGAATCATTCCTTTCGCTAACAGTCGCATCGACACTGCTTATTTCTTCTCTGTATATTCACACGTATGCACTTGCGGACGTATAAATAATTATTATAATTGTATGCATTATACGATACCAACAATATCAGTGATGTATTATCATAATATTTTTTTTTTTAAAGTAACACAATTTCAATACGGTAACGATATTCCAATAATATCCAAATTTCCATTACAATAAATCTGAATAACCTAAAGTCTGAGTAACCAAAGTCTCAACCTGATGGGTAATCGCAATGTATCTATACACGAAGTTCGGTAGTCATCGAATTTCGTCCATTGTTGTTTTGGTACATTGTACTCTAACGTAACAAAATGACGAGTAAACGTATCCACTTAAAAACTGGAGTTACAAATCTGTGAATACAAAGGCACCGAATTAATTTCAACACCTAATATAAATACGTCCACCGCTGGATATAGAACTGTTACATTATAATGCTTGCAGTTCGCACTGTTACGCGTTGAAAGTGTCATATCCCGCCCCCGGTTGCCACGCGTTTATTGATCGAACCTACGCAAAGGGTGCACCTACCCGTAGGTATAAATAATTGTTAATAACGATAATAATAATAAGAAAAGGATGTTTTGCAGCACCATCGAGGGCTGAGCTATCGAAAAATATGGCGTCAGGATTACCGAGCGCTCGTCAGAGGAAGCTTGGACCAGCGCCGATAGCATCCTTCGAAGACCTGTCCGACGAGGTGGAAAACGTGAGTCCCTCCCTGTCTCCTTCCTGAGTCCTCTCTAAATCGGCTGTGCTTCGAGCGAGATTCGCTCGAGTCGTCGTCGAGGATCTCGGCGATCGTGCTCACCTGCACGTGTGTTCCCCCTTGAAAAAACGAAGCTCCGTTGTCCCGGAGCAGGGTGACCTGTGTCCACAACCAACCAACTACCAACTACCCACCACCAGCCACCAACCACCACACCCCAGTGACTGTCATCCGAGCGACAAAACCAGCCTTACGAATTTGAATGCAGGGGGAACCGGCTGCGCGAATGCCAGGCATCGTCGAGGTCACCACACCGGCAACGCCTGGCAGTTCGCTAAAGACACCCAGCACACCGAGAATAGACATCAGCCGGGCCAGCAGTTCCTCTCATCATGAGGACAGTAACTCCAGGGACTCGACGCCGGAGAGGGAGCTCCTCGCAGGTACCGAATCCCTCCGTCGAAGGTTCTTCGATCGTTTACGTACGCTAGGAATTCGTTAATTGAAAAGTGGAGGCACCCAGAAGGGCTGATTGCTAGGTGTTAACAGTAGAGGAATTGGGTCTGGTTCTATTTGACTTTGTCAGGGGCTCGAGGAGAGAGCTCGGAAGACCTGCATCGGACAACCTGACAGAGGGAGGTCACGTAGTGTGAACAACTCATCTTGATACGATCTTCTTCATCGGAAATAAATTCAATCGCGATGCATTAGATCCTTGGAGTAAGAGATACCTGTAGATCTTGACAAAATTATTAATTTCCACTTATACAGGGAGGGGCAACAAATTTGTCCATCATGAACATTTCTGTTATTTATAGTCCTTTGAAGCAACTTGTCGGGTAAAAGTAGCACTGATTTAAAGGGGGTCTTATTAAAATGGTAGAACATAATTTTTTCTATATGCTATATTTTTTTTAATCTTTGCGTAACAGCCACTGTCGAGACGATTTCAGAATGGTATCTACATAAACGCCTACTCGTGACACAATTAATTTCCGATGAAGAAGGTCTGTTCCAATACGCATCGAGATTGGTAACCCAACCTTCGTCGCCTCCTCTTGTGAGCTAACTCTTTGCTTTCGATAATTAGATAACCATGATTTGGCACTCGACCCCCTGGAACTTCCACTCTTCAATTCTAAGCAAAAAGGAGTGGAAAGTTCTGCAACTATGATAGTCCTCGCTTTGAAGTGACAAAGGAAAAATCGCCGCATTTCTGACTCGGTCTATAACTCAACCTTCTGATCTTTGTATCTTGAAAACTAAGGCCGAACAACCATTAATTCTTACTCCGGAACACTGCTGAACCGTTTCCCTGTCACTTATTCTCAGGTTGTTGAAATCGGCGGGTAACATGGTAAATAACGTTCCTCCAAGTGTACTGTATCTCTTCCACCAACCGTGGTTTCTGTTTGTCGGCGATGTTTACGCCGCGACTGCCACTCCGAGGCTCTAATGCGTTCGCACACGGGGAAGAAAGAAGTCGCCGGCAGTAAAGAAGTTTTACTCGGGCTGGAACGGTTCCCGCGAGAAAATTGAATTTTTCACGTCGCGGTGGGCGAACGTGCGACAAAATTCTATTACGCGTCGCTAGACGATGCGTCTGTTGCTTCCTGGCGTCTCCTCTTAACGCGGCCATCCCAACGGCGACAGCTTATTCCTCGAGTCACGAGTCGCCAGGGACCATCAGATTAGGATTCTTTTTATCCTCTGTCGTGTGGTGCAGTTTTCTTTTCTCTCGGGAGTGGTCGGAGTTAATCTATCGCATCCGCGTCTCTCTGATGTCGGGGGTAAAAGGGTAGGTCTCTTTGTTTCTGTGGTACATCTCTCCTCTTCGAGGTTCATAAGAATTTTGGGTGCGGAAAATACCAGGAGATTGCGCGTAACAGGCAGTAACGACTATGCAGGGTGTATCGAACATGTGGGAGTTATTCTTAACACGTTGACTGCCAAACTACTCGTACAAATTTATATGAATCTAACACTTTGTTTCTATACATCTGGATCTTATTTTTGTTGAATTTAAACTAGTACTTATTATGGAGATTTATTTTCTTCGACATCTCATTTTCAGAACAAATTTATTTGATTCCTCGATGAAAAGTCCTGTCACCCATATATGGGCGATGTGGCGGTCAACGTGTTAATTATTAAGACTCTCACCGAGTCTTTTTTTTTTTTTTTTTTTAATATTTTCGCGGGGAAAAATCTTCTGAAAGCATACTCGATCTTTCGGGGAAGTCTGGGAATTGCGTAGAATAACACCCTCGCGGCATCCTACATTTGGGGTAGAGAGAACATTAAATACACAATTTCCAGTGCGCCCCTCCTCAAATTCTCACCAAGTCTGACGTCATAGCCACATGTTTTGATATTCCCTGCATACTTTACAAAGAGTTGAACTTCTAGCAATAGTATTCTGTAGTATTATAGTCTCGTTGGTGTTAGTTTATTTGGTGTTTATTAAGATAAAACTGGTTACAGACTTTAGACCTATGTTTCGTAGTTTTCTTCGTAACGCATATCCTCTCTGCGACAAGGGTTCGCTGAAACGTCCAGCGTCCTGGACAACTCGCGCGCGCTACTTTGCAACCAACGCTTACGGAATAATCGGTAAATTCTTGCACAAATGTTAACGGAACAACGGAGAGAGCGTCCCTACGAGCGAAGGTTCGGATCGATCGAGACAGAGACTAAATGCTCCCTCGAGATAACGCGGGCTCGATTACCGTTTGTACGTGTTCCGCGAATTAATACGCGCTGCAGGAGCAGGGGAGAATTCAAGAGAAACCCAGTGTACTGGAAGTTTGTCCTAGATTCACGAAGCTTGCTTTTGTCGGGTTACGTACACCTACCGCGAAAAGCGTGCTGCGTCGGATGCACGGATGGTGATAGTAGGCAACGGGGACTCTCGTCGCGTGGTGCGCAAGGTAGATGCGCAAAGTAAGTGCGTGGGAGATCGTAGGACTTCGACTGTTGCGTGAAGTAGAGATGTGCAAAATCGCACTCGAATTAATCCATGAGTTATCATTTCAATTTACATAGTCTTCCTTCTAGACACTATACATAGTAGTGTAATTATTACACCTAGGTAGGATTGATAAAACTGAGTAGAAAGACTTGATGTTCGTAGAGCGTCGAATAATCCTTATCATAAAGTAGACAACTTTACTTGTAGTTACTTACTATCCATGTTTATCAGAACTATTAATAACATATAGCGTATAGACCTGTTAGTTTTTCGCGATAAAAGATCTAGCAGCCCAGAAATTGTCCCGCGCAAACGTCAAGTATGCTCTCGTGAAAATTCCAGGGGGAGAACCTCCAGCTGGGTGCAAATTGACTCTGGGTTACAAAGAGGACGCTCAGGATCTGAGATCGTCAACGGAAGAGCTAGACTTGCAAGATCCCATCCACGAGCAAGATCTCAGAAGAGAGTCGAAGAAGCTGGCCAAGAGACGAAAGGAGGATGGCTCGCTGTCGGACTACAGTGGCAAGCAGTTGGACAGAGAGCGGAAGGACAGCAACTGTTCCGAGATCGTCCTGCTGAACATCAGTGGCAGGACGTCGAGACTGTCATCGGTGGGTAGCCAAGGTTCTGGAGCCTCTGGGAAACTCTCCGTCGTTTCGGCTACTTCGTCCAGGTAACGTGGAGCATCTTTTGCTTCGACCGCGACGGAAATTAGAGTCAGACTTTTAACGATCGTCTCCGCCAGGTCGCCGAGTCCGCACAAATGTTTACTGGAGACGTCGTTCTGCGGGAGCAAGCCAACCCTGGCTGACAACCTGATCGAGCCGTCGAAGCCAGAGACTGACGACCTGGAGAAGATTCTGCTGAAGCGGGAAGCGGACACCACCAAAGCCCTGATTCCAGAGAGCATAAAAGTCTCCATGGTCGACGGAAATCTGAAACCTGATCCCCTGGACAAGCCGCGGAGGCGTGGTCGCGAGGAGAGGAAAGAAATTTTCAAGAGAGAGGTGGAGATCACGAAGAGATTCTTGGAGAAGGTTAACATAGAGGTAAAATTGCTTCTCGATCTCAAGGCTCCGTCTCGATGAGTCGTCGAGGCTTTGGGTTATATCCTAAAACTGTCGACTTTCAGGTACCTATTCTGAGGAAGCCAGTGGACGCGCAAAGTTCAGCGACGACGCCGGAAGAACGGGTCAGATCTCTGATACAAGAGGTTCAGAAGCCGGCGAGTCTGGACTTCAACGACAAGAGAAAGAAGACGCAGAATTTCAAAGAGATAGTGCAAACCACTCCAACGTCTAGCAGCGTAACCGGAAGCCCGAAATTGCCCAGGCATCAGAAAGTGCGCGACCTGGAGGGCTCTCGAACGCCCAGTCCCTCTTCCGTTTCTCGAAAAAGCAGCTTCGCGTCCCTGTTCAAGGTATGAATTTCCACTATGCCATGCTTGCTGATCTTTAACGCGCTGAATGTAAGCGAATCTCGCGCGTCAGGAATTCCACAGTGGACGGTACAATTGCTATTGTACAGTGGAGGGTATGCGTATCAGTCAAATAGGAATAATAGCTATACTCGTAGCTTAAAAGAAATATTATGATAATAAGTCACAGATATTATCGATGTTATATATCTAATAAATATGAAAAGAATTATCTATATGTCCGCCACAGTGTGTCTCACTGGTCAGCGGTGTTCCTGACATTCAACGCGTTAACGCGATTGGTAGTGACTTAATCATGCTTGCCCGTTGCGTTTGGTCCACACACGGACTCCTGGCTTTGTCTTTGTAGACGTACCGCTAGCTTTATCGAGAAGAATATCGCGAAAACACTGCATGTTCTGACCGTCCGCGTGTTCAACTTTTAAGGCTCGTACAGACAGCAGTGTGTTGAGCCCAGAATCACCGTCGCCCAACGCGAAACCACGGCGTAGCCTGACCTCGAAGATAAAGGACACCACGGAGAGCTTGCGCAGCAGGTCGAAGTCCCGCGAGAGGGTTTCCGCGGACAGCAGTAGAGCGTCCAGTTTGAAAAAGGACTCGAAGAACAAGGGTGTGTTCTCGTCGACGTTGAGTCTGTTCAAGAAACGCGAAAGAAAGAAGAGCTACGACGAGGCGATCGCAGCCGCCAGCGGGACCATCGATCTGGCCGACTCTGGCGAGCATCCGTCCCTGGAGAGCATCGGTAACGTGGAGTTCCGGTTCAACGCCGACAAAGAGAGCCGCCAGGACGACTCCATCTTCATAAGCCTCCACGCGGACGACAGGAACTACGAGGAGGCTCTGCCATCGGAGAGCGTCTCGATCCCGTTGGAAACGCCGACGAAGCTGCTAGACGAATACGAATCGGAGCCTTGCACCGGGAGCATAGTCACGGAGGTCTCGATCGAGCATCACCCAGTCCCGTCGAAGATCAAAACCGAGGCTCAGATCGAGACCACCTCCAGAGCCTACTCGCGGGACAGCCAGATCTCGCAAAGCCTGTCGAAGGAATCGGAGATTTCGAAGAGTTCCTCGAAGGACTCGAAGCTCGGTGGTCACGGTAGGGTAGCCGAGGGCTCCGTAAGGCCTTCGTCCTCGTCGTCTCTCGACAGCAAGCCTCCGGAGCACAGAGTATCCAGCAGCTCCTCGAAAGATTCGATCGGGAAAAAGGAAGTGACGAAACCGAAGAGGAAGAGCAAAGAAGTGCAACAGATAGAGCCACCGGAGAGAATAGACGAGGATGGACAGCGACAGAGACAGACCAAGGAACAGGCTCAGAATCGAGACATCAGGAAGTCCGAGTTACTGGACGACGGGCTCAGGCCCGAGGACGGTCTCGCAAAAGCGCCTAGCGTGATCTCCGATCTGGATCACAACAGCTCGGAGTCGGAGAGGGACTCCGAGATCGAGTTCATCAGGAACAAGGTCGAGAAACTCGCCCAGGAGTTGCCCGACGAGAGGAAGGGCCTGTTCTACGAGGAGAGCTTCGAGGAGGATCTTCCCTACGTACCAACGACTTTACCCTTAGAGAAAAGCGTGGCTATGCCGATCCTGCCTGTGAAACAACGACTTCAGGAAGTAAGGTAACTGTCTCGAAATGCAATTCATTATATTTAGTACAATAAACGACAATGGTATGACAGGTCGATGAATTTGTCTAAGCAAATGCTATCTTATTGTGCATAAAGATAAGGTTCCATTAAAAAAAAGTTAATTTCAATTCATTAATTAAAGTGACCTACTTTAGCTCGCGTGTATACAATCAGAGTGAAAAAATATACGTTTAAAATTCATCTCTCAAGAGGTTAAAAGAAAAAGAAGAACAGATTATTTGATGGAAATCTAGAAAATGCACGGATCAATAAGTGTTACAATATTGCAATAATTTGTTTGATCGTGCAATGTTTGTTTATTAGATTAATGTTTCATCAATTCGATGTGCTCAATCGTCAAGAAACGTTTACCCTCGATCACTCAATTATTCCCCAAACTAGACATCTCCGTGAATCGATAGATCTAATCGACGATGACTCGTTTGCGATGTCTAGAACGATACCCACCGAGAGGCCGCGGTCCACGACACCCATAAATCCCACCCTCCTCGACGAGTTCGTGATGCAGACGTCCCTGGACGAGCGTCGCATCGAGAAGATGAAGATATCCCTGCCGCGCGAGGACAGCCGAAAACTGAAGAGCCCGCGGAAGCACGCGGCGAACACCTTCTCGGAGTTCGCGGGCAAAGTGCCCGACGGGGGTCGAAAGGGCGCGGGGAAGTCCCCGAGTCCTCCGCCACTGCCACCGAGGGCCCCGGCCAGGCCAACCAACTGGATCAACTTTGAGGAGATCCCGGAGAAGAGGAAAGCACCGAAGAAGATCCAGACCATCCCGAAGGCCGATGACGAACCGAAGTCCGGCGGGTACAGCTACGTGCAACCAGAAGAATGCAGGTACGGGTACCATTTCTCATTTTACATGCACCAGCCTAACGGTCGAGACTCTGTAGACAGACGGCAGGGTTCCTACGGGGTGTTCTTTGAAAAACAGTTCGAACTTTGTGGTCTTGTAGTACTTAACCGATTGAAAAAGAAACACGAGCAACGTAGATCCACGAACCGGTCGTTTTAGTTCTGCACTGGAAGTTGTGTCACTGACGTTCACAGCATTCCTCCACCAAGACGTCATCCAGTATACATCGCTTTTGTAACGGGTACTGGAACGGTCACCCATTACCCATTTTGTTTTATACTACACTATTTTTCTAATAACGCATTACTTAAATAAGTATCGCATTATTTACGCCTCTGCCTGAACCATATAAATATTTGCAACGAATACAGTAACAACCGTCGTCACACTTATTATTCTGGCCGTTACAGTATGTTGACCAAGCATTTTTTATCCAGTTTAGCGCGCACTACAAGTCTGCAAAGTTATCGAACCACCTTTCAAAAACACCCCGCATACACGTATGCTCTTACGGCGATCAACAGGTGCGAGTGCCACGAGGAGTCGCGAAGGGCGACGATGAGAGAGGCAGCCGCGACGACGAGAACGTCATCCTCTTGCAGCAGCAACGGCGAGCGATCGTGCAACGGTGACAATTGCACGGTGCCGGGTACGGGTTCCGTGGATCGTGCCAGCATCGTCAGGTAAACGCACCCGGGTACGATCGCCAATCACAGCCGAACCGGTCTCACAGGGCAAACGTCGAGGACGCTAGTGTTGAGTAGAAGTCTGTTTCTGTACTTTCAGTGACAGCTCGCTGGAGTGTAGCCTGAGCATCGAGGAGGGCACGCAAACCCTTCTCGCAGACTCCTCGTCGAAACCGTTCGGCATGGACCTCGACGTCCGGTCGAACAGGTCCAGCATCGTGTCGCAGGACGAGTCCGACGAGATCCAGCACCAATAATAGTTTCACGGCACGCCTCCTCGCCTTATTCTCCTTACCGGATTCTCCTCCTCGTTCGAATTACCCTCACAGAATTCTCGTTGCTCCCTCTAGTGGTGTTCAGTGTTGCTGGACAACGAACGAACTCCGCTCTTCTTTGCGCCCCGCGATGTTTTCTTTCTCTAAAGCAGTGTTTCGTACCGACGATATTGGGGAGCGTACGTCAGTGGCGGGTCTAATGCGAAGCTCACGGAGTTTAGTCTGCAAACGGTGTCCATCGGTGTGGGAGGTATTGAAAAGGTAAAGTTATCTGTGTGCTCTGCAGCGCGTGTTATCACTGAGAATTTATCGGTGAGACCATGTGACAGTATATGGGGCATTCGTTTCATCCTGGAGGAAAGGCATCGAAAGTAGTATCGTTGGTGTTCCCAGACTCCCTCCATTGCACACGTAGCAGAACACCGTGGAGGTTTTAGGTCTTTCGAAGATCTCCCTCACGAAAAAAAAAAAATATTCACGACAACCTACTACCATGATATAATAGCTCACAGATACTACACTTGACGCAAGTTAGGCGAAACACCCTGTATACCATTCGTCACGCTGCGACGAATGACGGTAGAGAATTTCAGTGGACTCGTAAGTCTTAAAGGGGCACTGATCCATTGCATTTTAGAGAGGTAAAACCTAAATAATATCTTAGGTTTCAAGACGCCGTTTAAGGATTAAACTTCGCGGAAGGCTTAGGACGACCCCCCTGAGACCTGGTAATAAGTATAAACAAAAATGATTAGTGACTTCTTTATTAGAGTCCTCTTATAAATCTATTCAATAATATAGAAATAATTACTAATTTTGATGGTATCTTTCTAGTGTCTTGCGTTGTTGTTCGAATATTTGAAATTCAAAGTAAACGCTTTTGTGTTGATTTCGTTAACGATTTTGAAGGATGCTAAGTAACAATATAGGAAATATATGTGGTTGATAAATAAATACAGTATTCGCGAACAATGTGTTTAGAAGGATGACACGGAAAGAGTAGCTCGAGGTCCTCAGAAATATATCTAGATCCGTCACTGATGACTATACACACTTTCAAGTTTGGTGATCGAGCAGATCACTGTGGCTCGCTCGTCCTTTCAACGTGGTATAGCCGATGGTTACATTCTATCCTCTTCCTTTTATAAACTAGATGCCGAAAAATTTATGTTCTGTTACGGCATAATGATCAAACAAAAATAAACGAATGTAAGTGTGACAAGTGTACCAAGGAGTAGGGATCGATGAAGACGGAGTTGTTTGTTGTTCAGCTCGCACAAAGGAGTGTCATATAGGATCCAGTGATGCCAAGTATGCTTCCCATTCGTACATACGCGTCGGTCACACCTGAGTGCGCAATACTGTAGCTGTAGGAAACGACGCGTGGTTCCAATTCTTTTGTAATTCTATTTTTCTTTGAGGTGACGAAGGGTGCCAGTTTCACGAACGTATTAAATACTTTATTGGCGCTTCAGACGCTGCAGCGGGAAACATTTCTGGGATCACTGTATAGGTCACGTATGCCACGCGAGATCTGTAATTTTTCTCGTCTTTTCTCATCGTTGGCAGCAATGGTAAGCAGTCGTTTGTGTTTTCCTGAAATCTCGACTAATTAAAATAAAACCGTCATTACCAACGTAACGAATGAGCGGAACAGTCGAAATAATTTTCACGAGTGGAGCTTCGCAACTGCAGCTTCTAAAGACCCTCTAAAAAATTTACGAGGTAACGTTGGGTCGGGTCGTGTCCATTTTTCAGCCATTTCCACGAAATTCGATTTGAGAAGCATAGAATGTTTTAGTGCTCGAATATATTTAATGCTAGAAATTTCAGTCAGATTTTTCGACTAAAATTTGAAAAAGTCATAACTCTCACTGGGATAAATGGCTTCGAATGATTAATACGATAAACTGCGTGCCGTTAGGTGAAGAATTTTTAAAAAATATGAAACTATCCAAAGGGTCTATTTTTTAGAACTTTTGGTCGGAAAAATGTACAAAAAGTTGCCTAATCTTTACAAATTCGTAGCTCATTCAATAACGAATATGTTGGATTGAAACTTTTTTTCATTGTAAATCTCATGGAACCCTACGACAAACATACAGAAAAAGCTTTTCCCTAAAGTGAAAACCAAATTTTTGAAAAATGAAAGATTGATTTTTTTAAGAATTCGTTAGGATACCAATTGCCGAATTTTCCTCGTTAGCTGAAAAATGACGACATCCAATCATAATCGAGCAACGTTCTTTCGTGACTCGTACCAGAGGATTTCCACAGTTTCATGAAAACGCGAACGACACGGACGGTCCGTTACCTTTTCGCTAGTCGTCTATCAAACACTTGTAAATACGTACCTTGTAATAGTCGAATATCGGCATTCTCGCGTGATTTTATTCTAAGGGCGTACCATACCTTCCTACGAGAACCCCCGTTCGTTTCCTCGTTACTTAGAGTCTCACGTTACCTATAACGGACAAAAGCATGCCTGTTGGTATGCGTACGTTGACCAAATGCTTCCTTACGATAGCGAACGTAATCATGTGATTTCGCACGGGTTTCGATCGCGGACGGTGGCTCGTGGCCAACGCAATCATCGACGCTTCATATCATGTAGATAGACCTAGATCTGTAAGTGTTTCCGCCGCGGTATAGAGGGATACAAACGCGAGGAGAAATTTATCAAATTGTTGAAACCGAGCGATTGATATCGGCGTACCATCGCTCGGACGTTCCAGCCAGGCTGTAACATAAACGGTTAGAAAGAAACGGAAAGGAGACGATGTTTCGAGTACTGTACCGAGCTGGAAAGAAGGCTAGCGGGAGGAATCGGAATAGGGATCGGCAGCATGGCGATATAGTCACGCCTCTCTACGCGTCGTTGTAGCATATTATTTTTCGAAATGGTCGTATTTAAATAACAAAGAAAAGAAATACACGCGTAGAAACAAAGTAAAATGATGCGATGCGAACAGTGTCAACGCGTAAAACAAATTATTGAATATAGGGGGCAATAGGGGGGCTACGAGAACGTGAACGGTGGCTAATCTGCTTTCCAGCTCGATATAGTGTATCGATCGAATCGCTTCCGTATCTGTTGAAAAGGCTAGCAAAGAATTATCATTGAGAGAACGTGGATAAAAACGAATGCAAACGGTATGGAACAGATTGTTCGCAAACATTGTTCACGCGTTTCTAGATAGACTGTTCTATCGGTAAGGGTAATGTGTAAATGAGTATGTGCACGTGTGTGTGTGTATGTGTGGAGAGGTGTGTTCACAGCACCCTGTGGTGCACTTCATATCCATGGAATTCGCATTTTTTCCTAACGACTTAGCATTTCTCTTTGTTCTCTCCCGAGGACCATCTCAGTCTTTGTCGGAAACGAGCCACCGTTCGACGAACGTTAGAGGACGACGAAAAACGAAACGTGGAAGCGTCGGTTAGTTAGCGAGCTTAGGCGTACAAGAATGAATCAAACGACCACGAATTATCAGAATCATTGTTATTTTGCGCGTCGTTGAAAGGTAGATGCGACACCACATCGCTATCCGAATTGTCTTTCAACGTAATGGTGAACCTCGGTTGCCCAACAGTTTCGAATCATTGTCGTTTCATTTCTATGATTTCGATGATACAGGCGGCAAACCCTCGAGTGGCAAAGAAAGGACTAAACAAGAAACAAGAAACTTGCTTTTCGACTCGTTTCCAAAACGTTTCCAACCTTTTTCCCCCCACACCCTCCCTTTGAAGAGAAATATTCTGCTTTGTGGAAGTCGAATCGAAGAAAGTACAAGATAGTAGAGGTAATCGTATAATTATCAGATGCTCGGCGATCGATAGGGATCTTTTTAATTTAGCTGTGCAAACGGTTAACGATAATTAGCTTCACGGTTTAGAGCAGGCATGCCCAACGCGTTGCTCGCGCAAGCCATGATACATCGGGACAGATAATCGCCGACGTCCACGAAGCCACGGCTCTGTGGACACAAGCCACTCCTCCGCGTGTAACATCCCATTGATGAAGTACGTAACGAATGAACGCAACGTGTTTTAGAATTTTCCTAACGCATTCGTAAAGTAAATAACATAGAATGAATGCAATGAAACAAAAGCATTCGAAAGCTAATGTAATGGAAGCTTCCAAACTGTCAGTTCGAAATTTTTAAACCCAGCATTTTATATATAATATATATGTATATTCAACCATGATCACTAAGTTACTTGCTTGATTTTATTCACTCGTACGAGTCGTCGGTATCATTGTAAATATCAGATAGAACATCGGCATATACACTCTAGTTACTCCTAGATACTTTCATTCTAGTATATTTTAGAATTGTAAATTTGTACGAATTGAAAATCGTGTTAACGTTATGTGAATTTGTATCCGTGGACTAAATACTGTTTTACGAAAGTGTTGCACTAAGGCTCGGGTCACTTTCCTACACCGATCGACTGTTGTAAGTCGAGACGAGACTAAGGGGACGCTAGGAATATTCTTATAAAAATATAGACACAGGTAGCATACCGAATGCACGATGTGAGATTTAACCTAGTACAAGTGTATAAATGAAGGGGGCGGTGATATAACGGGTAGAATTGTCAAATCATTCATATGTACACCTGGTGCAAGAATCTTGACCATGTACTCGTTGTTCGTTTGCATTTGTGCGTTAAATTGAGCGAGTAAAAACGTATATTAAGCTGGCGTAGCCATTTTAAAAGGCCAATGCCAAATATACACGATATTTTTTTTGCTATTTATTTGCTAATTATTTGCCATAGAATTAATTTTTTTGCTCCAGCCGTTTTCGAGAAACAATGGCTATGGTAGCGTAACGTTGAGCTAGCGTAGCCACTTATTTATCTCTGTACCTAACAAGGATATCGATTCCATTCTTGCAGCATATTTTTTTGCTAATTATTTGCTCTTAATTCACCGAATATTAATTTTTTTTGCTGCAGCCATTTCGGAGAAACGATGACCGCGCTAGGACAGCGTTAATCTAGCATAATTAAGTGTCGCAGCTGCGTACCTAACAAAGATATCGATACATTAGTACGTAGCCGCGACACTTAGTTATGCTAGATTAACGCTGTCCTAGCGCAGTCATCGTTTCTCCGAAATGACTGCAGCAAAAAAAAAAATTAATATTCGGTGAATTAAGAGCAAATAATTAGCAAAAAAATATGCTGCAAGAATAGAATCGATATCCTTGTTTGGTACAGAGATACATAAGTGGCTACGCTAGCTCAACATTACGCTAGCATAGCCATTGTTTCTCGAAAACGGCTGGAGCAAAAAAATTAATTCTTTGTTTTTTCTTAATTAACAAATAAGTAGCAAAAAAATATCGTGTTAATTTGGCATTGGCTTTTTGAAATGGCTACGCCAGCTTAATACACGTTGAGTAAAAATCCTGGTAAAGATCTCACAACCAGCGGCGGGAGCGATGAAGAATCTCACGCGCATCAGCCTTGCGCATCGCGCGCCTGGGAAGGGGACTTCCCCCACTACGCCAGCAACGCTCCGCGTGCCTGCGGCGCGGGGCAGTAGTGCTTCGGATCTCGTGGGTGAATGTTGGAGTCACGTGTTTGCAAACTTTCGAGCAAGTGAATTTTTGGTGTACTTCAAAGACTAGCGGGTTGTTATCGAGGTCGAGAGTGAAACAATAGGAACTATTACATCACATTCTGCTAACAAGGAACGTCACCCAATATTAACGCACTGATCTTAATCAAAGCTTGGTACAAGTGTAAAGCATTGAAAAATATTTATACACTTATTTTTGTTATATTAGAAATATTTTATTTGCAACTTCGAGGGTAGCTTTCACCTCTTGAATACGAATATCTATGAATATCTCTATCTATGTACCAAGTTTGATCAAAATCAACGTGTTGGGAATGGATGGTATTTCTTGAAAGGAAAATGTGAAAAAATTGTACGAGGCATTACTGCAGCGTGGACACGTGTTCTTTCACTTGGTGTACAGAGTCAATATGCCAAGCGTACAACGCTGCATTCACATTGCTTCGAACGAACCCTTCCTGTCGTGTCTTTGCTGGGAACAGTTGGGCATGCCTGGCTTAGAGTAATTGGCCAGCGATGATGGATGCAATTCCCAACGACGATAATGGCATGGCTCCTCGTGATTAAGTAATGGTCTTATTAATGTCAAGAGCAATCTTCATCGCGTGCAGTGAACGATTCCGTCAGGCTTAGGGCTCTTTCGCGCGTCTCCCACGCCGTTAATCGACGGCTGACCTCAACCCCTACACGGGTTAAAAGAGTAAGCCTTCCTAGACGCGTGGAAGTCATACGTATATTCAACAATTTTTTTCTGAAACAATTGAGTTAACTAATTCAAATATTTAAAACAAAAAATTATTTAATACAGCTGCAATTGTCGCGCGTCCAAGGTGGCTTCTTCGCTTAATTAGGTTTGCCGATAAAACGCGAATCAGCGAGACTATCCGTGGCTCAATCGTTGGAATTAGCTTCGTCGGTGCTCTGGAAATGTAATTCCCTTAAAAGGGTAAACCATTGAAGTCTTTGGGGAGCGAGAACCGCGTTCCTGAATCGTTCGAAGTTCGCGTGGATGTCGTAGTTTGCAACGCGTCGTAACGATTTCTGCTCAAGAACGTTGGGTTTCGTCAACGTCGTCGTTTTCGCGACAGCACCAGCTGCGTGTATATTTACATTCTGTGTTCGAAATGGTGGAATTATTTAGTTCTGCTCTTTAAGCCGATCGTTGCTCGGATTACCGAAGGATCGCGAGGACGAAAGTACTGTCTACAATTTTTTGCGATCGCGAGACTATCGATTTTCTGTCGGTGCACAGGAGTTCATCGCGGTATCTCTCATATACAGTGCCGTCTTAAGTTATGCAAAATTATTCAAAATTGAACACATTTGTGGCGACACTGATCCCTAAAATTCGTCATTGTCTATGTCGACGTTCCTTCGACAAAATTATCGATTGCAGCTTTTCGGATTCTTTCTTTTTCGTAATCTGTAATACTTGAACAAAGTCAATTTAATTAAATCAGTTAAGACGTTCCTGTGCATACGCGTCTAGGAATTGAGTAATTGTTCTGCTTCCGTCTCTTCGTATCATTTTCCCCTTGGGCAAAGAGACCCTACTAGGCTAGTGCAGAGATAAATCAAGGAATCACCAAGTGCTAACCGCGCGATCAGCAGCTGGTTCGTTGGGATTCGTCGAGTGATCGATGAGTTGTGTTTTTTTTTTTTCTTGGACGTTGGTGTTTAGCTCAGGCTCTTTACGGGACGTTGGAAAAATTCGAATGCGCGGAATCGGGACACGTGACTTCTGGAGATCGTCTGTCTGACGCAGACGATACTTGTATTCTCCGAAGAAGGTCCTCGTCGAGAGATTAGACGCCCAGACGAAGGCAAAAGGAAGGGAAAAAAGGGGGAAGCAGTTTTCGAAAGTAAACTCCTCGAATTCGTAAAAATATTCCTCCCTGTCCGCCCCATCCAGCCTCCCCTAGCGTCCACGATTATTTTCTAAGAACGCTCGATCGCTAAGAGGAGTCTAAAGAATATTTAAATGTTTCTAATGTTGTGTAAATAAAAAAGAAAGCCGAGAGTGCATATCGCGAAAACGCTGTGAGAAACGGTGTGAGAGGGAGGGAGTGAAGTGGAGAGAGAATAAAAATGTTTGTGTTTTGACAGGTGGCTCAATCATTTCGTAATTGTGTTCCTGTAGATTCTAGAACGCCGAGGAATGTTGTAACGAACCGTGGGGACTCGTTCGCGGGTCGAGAACTGTGACGTATCGTTGGTCATCTTTTTTGCTTTTTATTATTCGGATTCAAAAGAATCTTCCAACTTGTCACCTGGAGCACAGTTCCCGGCGCGTGGCTTCGTCGAGGAACCAGGAATCCCACGCGCAATTGTTTATCGTTGTACGTTGTAGGTAACAGCGACGTAAAATTGACGCTTCGTGGCCACGAAAAGAAAGGTCGGAGGAAAGACGAAAGGAAGAGCCAAAACGGTGGGAGGCGATTCATTGTTGATATGTAGAATGTATTTTAGGTTTACTGAAAAGTTCCGTTCGCACTCTCGGATCGCAAAATGGTAAAGGACTTTTCGATTTCTAATCATGTGATGTTTGATCCTAAAAAAGCGCCTACATATTAATTAACATCCTGTAGATAGGATAGCCAGACTTTCGTACTACAACTAGAAAGAGAAAGAAAACCGCGATGCCCTATCTGTCTCTCTATCATTTTGCCCTCAGGGGCTCTAGCTATGTTTGATTCGTGAAGACTGTACAAGGAGATCCAACTCCATACGAAAGTTACTAGAAAACTGTTAGCAAAATCCCGAGCTTTAAGTTACGAATATCTCCTCTACTTGCGGCGCTAGGGCGCATGGACTACGATATACAGGGTGTCCTAAAACTCGGGGAGGAGCCGGAAATGGGGAGTAGCTGAGACGATTCTGAACAACAATTTCCTTTGCAAAAATGTCGGATGGGGCTTCGTTAAGGAGATATTAAGCGAAAACCCCGACCAATCAGAGCGCGCGTAGACCGTTGAAGCGGCCGCGGTAGCGTAGGCTACGCGCTGGTGGCCGCGCTTGCACGCGAACAAGTGACTCGACGTGCATCGAAGGACATTGGGCGCGGCCGCTTAGCTCGTAGCCTTCGCTATCGCGGCCGCTCCAATGGTCTACGCGCGCTCTGATTGGTCGGGGTTTTCGCTTAATATCTCCTTAACGAAGCCCCATCCGACATTTTTGCAAAGGAAATTGTTGTTCAGAATCGTCTCAACTACCCCCCATTTCCGGCTCCTCCCCGACTTTTGGGACACCCTGTATATATGTCATATATATATATATCGTAATCTGTGCACACTTGCGTTGTAAGTGGTAGAAATATTCATAACTTAAAGCTCGGGATTTTGATAACACTTCTACACTACACAGTTGGAACTCCTTATACAGTCTTCATGGTTTGATTATAGCTACAGTACGGGCTTAGCAATCCCGAGGTACCCGAGCTATAGGTGGGCCAATGGGCCTCAACAAATTGCTGACGTCCCTACATCCCTTGAAGATCAACTTCTAATATCGATTCACGTGCAGATTGGTAGCAAATTTGCAACGTTGCGAAATGATAAATAGAAATTGAGATATACAAAAGTTAGGTGGACGGAACTTTTCAGCTGACTTGTCAATGAAAGAAAATCACCTGAAAAATGAAACGAAAAACGTGAAGCATGACAAAAGAAATCGCAAGAGAGGAATTTCGTAGAGAAGCCTCGTCTCGTGGACGGCTCTAAGCCTGTTATTTTCTGAGGAGCAGCATTCATTATTCCTATAGAGTCTATTCTTCTAAATAATCTTTCAGCTGAGTTTCCGTGTTGACCACCGGAAGTGGCATTCGGTCTGTACACACGTTTGAACGCGAAAGAAATTTAAAAAAAAAAAAGTAAATAAATAAAAGAAATAAAGATTTTTCGCTGTATATATATATGTTTATTCTCAAAGAAATTATACAGCTATTACGTAACTACATTTAAAAGAGAACACAAAATAAATATATATATATATATAAGACGAAGCGAAAGGAGAGTGTGTACTAAGAGAACAACGTATGCTATATATACGATACTTCGAAGCACATCCGTTTAAGGAATTGTTAAAGAAAAAAATGATTCAATAAATATTATGTCTTAACCCATTTGCATCAAAGCTCTGAATACGCTACTAGACGTATTCGTCCAAGATGTTGTATCAGGTAGTTTTCGTTTATCATTGATTTTACTTAGAAATTACGTGTAATAATTGAAATTATTATACGTTTGTACAGCTAGAGCTATTCGCTATCGGCGTTTCAGAGAACGTTTTAGATCCTGGTGAATTTTGGAAACCTTGGTAAAAAGATGCTCATATCCTCCCATCGACAGATACCATAGTGGCCCTAGTGGACATTTTAACTAGAATAAAACACCAATAATCGTACCAGGTCAGGCATTTTAAATAGTATAGGACAGCAAGAAGAAGAAAAAGTTTCTCTTATTATTTTATTAGTATTATTCCGCATTTGGTGATAGCTAGACTGCGAATTTTTATGTATTTATAACAAGTTGTAAATGCGAGCAAATTTATGAGACACAAATGCAAAAATATGTAAAATATCAACGGTAGAATACATATTACACTGTTTAGAAGGTACAACATACTTTCGTTTTGGTCTCAATTCTTCATCTAAGTAAGTACGAATTTGCATGAACGTTCGCAGTCTGGCGATAGGAGACAATGGCCTGGTGCGGATTATTTCGCTTACGGATGCAAATGGGTTAGGTCTGTCTCTTTTAATACGATGTAAAAGCGGCGATCCCACGGGATAGGATGGTTAATGGGAATGCGAAGCAACTTTCACCACCCTTTTTTTCGACTACTATCGTGTATCAATCATCATGTACCAATTGGTTTTATTTAATATACTGATTGTTAAGCCTTTCGATCTTGGATTTCGCTGGTGTCCTGTAGGAGCCGTCACGCTTCGCCACGTCCCCCTTCTTGTCATCCTCCTCCTTAGCATCCAGAGCTATTGGTTGGTCACCGTCGCGCAGTATCACAGTGGGCGTCATCGTTGACGTCGTCGAATTGTTATCCTGCAGAGATTGCTGAAGGCAGAGAGCAATTAGATGGTGCAGCCAGCAATGCAACGGCGATTCATTGATTCATTGAAAAATAGAATGCATATAGGTGTTCATATCTCCAACGTTTTCTACAAATAGTCTGGTAAATATTAGGTCGCCCTACAAATTTGTGCCACTCATTCTATTGTTTAAATCAACGTGAAACAAATCATCATCACTAGACTGCGAATTTTATGCATTTATGACGTTGAATAATACAGAAAACATTCGTGAAATGTACATAACGTATGTTGAATATATTCTACAATTGTTATAATAATATTGTTATTTCATTTTGTATATATGCGCATGCCTTTTCGTTATTTTCAGCATGTATTTGTTATATTAGTTTGTATCATAAATGCATAAAATTCGCAGTCTAGTTATCACCCTCTCCTTTCTACGATCTTTTCCTACATTTCAGACAAACTCATTGTACCATCGCTGTATAATTTCTATATTTTTTTAATTGAATAACAATCCGTGTCGCGAATATATAGAGTGAACTAATATAATTCTATTGAAAAGAGACGTAGAAGATCCTGAAATGAAAAGAGTACGACCTCGAGGAAAGTTAGATTTCCTATCGTCATGTTTGCTTCTTTGAATAGCTTTGCTCAGAACGTAATGTTATCGTTTATCGCACATGTATAGGTGTTCCCATTGAATCGGTTCACCGTGTACTCTAACTGGGCACGAGCAAGCGTAACTAATTAACGGAAAGCAGAGTCTTCTCTGACCTCCTTCAGGGACGAGAATAAATAAGGTTCGTGTCCCACTTGGCGAGAACGGAGCCGTGTCGCGTGCTTAAACGTTTCGAATTAATCGGCGATAGTTACCTGCATGACGTTTATGAGGAACAGGAAGGCGAGCAGAGTCAATGCGCTAAGCGCGGCTCCGCTTCCACCTTTGCCCTTGTAGCTCCTGAAACGATCCATCAACAATATTTATATTTTTTACTGCTAACAATAAATGCTACTATACAAAATATTAACATTTATTATTGGTAACGAATGAATGCTATTATTTTATTTATAATACGAATGTCTTTTATCAGCAGATCACGCTGCTAATAATATTATTCATATTTATTATTAACATTAAATACTCTATTTTCAGTGTTAAACGACATCATCAATTTCCTTGATGAAGCTCAAAAGGAAAAGGCTCGTTGGTGGATTAGGGATTTTATACATTTATGACGTATAACATAAAGGAAAAGATACAAAAAATATACATAACATCTAAAAAAATCTATATTTATAAAATCTGTTCTAATAATATTAATGTAACAATATTTATATTTTGTACATATATCTTTTGATTATGTTTAGCATATACTTATCACATTCAGTCGAATCATAAATGCATAAAATCCTCGGTCTACTCGTTCTAATCTATTCTAATAATATTAATGTAATAATATTTATATTTTGTACATATATCTTTTAATTATGTTTAGCATATACTTATCACATTCAGTCGAATCATAAATGCATAAAATCCTCGGTCTACTCGTCGAGCAGGAAGTTATACCCATTCATTTTCGTATTTCAAGTCATAATTATTCGAAACCTAAACGTAATAAAAAAAAATATATATATATATATAGAATCACATTATATTTACCCGCGTGAGCCGTGATGGTAGCCACCGGAACCGCTGTGATGATAACCACCGGAACCGCTGTGATGATAACCACCGGAACCACTGTGGTGGTAGCCACTAGGGCCACTGTGGTATCTGTCGATGGGAGGACGATAAGAATCTTTGGCAAGGTTTCCAAAATTCATCAGGTTCTTAAATGTCATCTACAACACCGATCGTGAGCTGCTCTAATCAGACATTTAATATTTATGCTATTACTATTATTATTTATTACAGAAAGAAGGCTATCAAAGGATATATGTGTTGACACAGGGCTTCTTCTCAACTAACCTTTATGGCTGATAAATTAATCTCGACTAATTGCAATTAAATACAGAACTAAATACTTGCACGTTTCACAAATTCACTTTGAAAGAATCGCTGAACTAGCACGCGACGTTTGGAAGAAGAACTCCCGTGTTTCGCAACTTTTTTCGTTAACTGTCGCCACGACGCGCTACGCTGGACTGTTTTCACCTAGAATAGAGTCAGTTCCTTGTGCTTCTTGTCACGGAACGTGGGTCCCTTCGTGGTCCCTGCGTCTCTTCGCCACTTGCACCGATTAAACACACGTTGCCGACACGTCTTCGTCGCCAAGTGCGGCGATTAGCGACGAAGACAATTTTCTTTATTGTTCCTTAGATTGTCAGCGCTCCGTGACTGGTTACCTAATCTTCCAGTAACTAGCTTTCACGTTGGTGTTAATGCTGCAAGGCTGTTGCTTCCCTGATCTGAAAATATAACTCAGAATTTCCCCAAGGCTATGAAAGGATATTTATGAGGACGTAGAAATCTGTTGAATTCCACGCTCCAGTGGTTTTCAGGATGTTCACTCTCGAGTTACATCATGCAATTCTAGGAGGAATATCACCCTCAGACCAAATATACAGGGATAAGTAGTCCATTTGTTATTCTAGTTACATCAGATGAGGATATACAAACCTGTTAGATTCTAAGCTCGAGTGGTTTTCAGGATGTTCAATCTCGAGTTACATCATGCAATTCCAAGAGGGATGTCACCCTTACTTAGACCAAATATACAGGGATAAGTAGTCCACTTGTTATTTTAGTTACATCAGATGAGGATATAGAAACCTGTTAGATTCCAAACTCGAGTGGTTTTCAGGATGTTTGCTCTCGAGTTACATTATGCAATATCAGGAGGGATGTCACACTTAGACCCAATATGCAGAGATAACTAATTCACTTGTTGTTATTCTAGTCACATCAGATGAGGATATACAAACCTGTTAGATTCCAAGCTCGAGTGGTTTTCAGGACGTTCATTCTCGAGTTACATCATGCAATATCAGGAGGAATATCACCCTTAGACTCAATATGCAGGGATAACTAATTCACTTGTTGTTATTCTAGTCACATCAGATGAGGATATACAAACCTGTTAGATTCCAAGCTCGAGTGGTTCTCACGATGGTTGCTCTTGAATCACATTTCCTGCTGAACGTTAATGCAATTCCAGAAAGGATGTTACCATTGTACCTAATATACATATGCTCGGACATATGCACAATGTCTAGAGCCTTCAAAGGAACCACTAATTGCTCAGGCGATGAAGATCGTTCCCCCTAGAAACTCTTTTCAAGGCTTCCCTTCTACAAAAGAATGAACTCTATCCTACTAAAAGTATCAAGACGGAAGTTGCGAAGGCTCTCCACAATGTGCCACTGTTTCAAAGTACGAAATATTCTTTCATGGACGGAAAGGGGATTAGAAAGGAACAGAAATGCAGAAGTTCATTGTCAACGAGACCGTTTATTAGACTGATTTAAATACAATCGTACCGCGCGTAAATACAACTTACTGCAAAGATGATACGCTAACCGATCTAAATATATCCTGCCTATTGCGAAGAAACTCCACCCGTTCGCCTGTGTGTACATAGTATTCTATATACAGTAGCCAATTTCGAACGGGGGACTGAACGAATTATAATATCCTGAGGCGTTAACTCGTACGAAAACGGGAGGGTCATTCAAGGGCAACCCTCGTTGAACCACTGTCAGAGGATTGATCTGAAAGTGGCACAACGAACTTCGCCCACGGCACGTCGACATTACCAAACCTCGATAGTTCCGGCAGTACTAAGCTCGTCTTCCTCCCCTTTGATGAAAAAAGTGTCTCGCGACCGCGATGAAACTAGGGATTAAATACGTGAAGGTGGACTCCGATTGGCGCGATGCGCTCGTCGCTCACTGGTAAGGAAACGCGAGTCGAAGAAATTAGGGTCCGCAGGATTTAGCCTCGAATATAACGCACATTGCAACAGTATAGCGATGCGTAAGGATATCCAAAGGTTTCTGAATTGGCTATAATGTAAGTGATAAATTAATTCGAGATTCCAGTGGTTTCCCTTAAAGTAGTCTTCTTGGAAGTCTGCCGTTGTTAGAACAATTTTTGAAAGTCCTGTTTCAGCGTAATCCTCGTCTCTTAGAGAATCTTCTCAACTGTGCCAACTCCCCATTCTTCTATTTTGGCCGTATGTAATTTGTTCGTCTTCACTAGAAAGAGAGCTCGACGTTCAGAGATTTTACATTTTAATTTGGGGAAATTGAAGACTAGATGAGCAACGTAACAAGAGAGGACTTTCAGAAGACGTTCCAATAGGAGCAGTAACTCTCGAGAGTACAAGTAGCCACTAATCTCTCAGTTTAATCTGTCATACTTCTTATACAGTCAAATCAAAAACATTTTGACACCCATACGCATCGTATCATTAGACTGCGGATTTTTATGCATTTATAGGAAATTTGAATGTGAAATTACAAAATGCGTACAGTATGCAATGTTATTACAAAATATTGAAAGTAAAGTTCATATTATAATATTGCCATAAAATAAATTCCTCTTTAAGTTCAGTTTTTGTAGGTACGTTTGCTGAGATATTATTTTGCATAAAGATGCGCAGTCTAGTTATCACCAATTTAGATTCTACGTGCTCGCCAAGGAACACCAGATCACGCCGAAGCTGCGATCCCCGTTCGCATCGCAGCCAATTGAGCCCCGAGTAAACGCTACCACTACGTTTAATATAATTTAATAAATATAAATAAATAACGTGATCGTCGTCGAGGCCTGTTCGTGTCAGGCCTGCGCGCGACATTTGTTCATGGACTCTTCTCTCCTCTCTCGCGTACTTCATTTTCGTGCACGAATCCCGAGCGTCCGCGGAGAATCCGAAAAATTCCCATCGTACGCCAAGGATTCCTGGCAAATTTTAGCGTTCTGTTGTCCCAAAAGGATCCGCCGAAATCGATCGATTAATAATGCTATGTTTCTGGAAGACAACCGAGTCAGTCTGTCGCTCGATGAACCGAGTACGTCGATCGAGAGCTTGCGAGAAAAGTGTCACCAAGATTCCCGCCAGTCTAGTTTCAGACACGTCCATTGCGCATGTTCCACGTCTATGTCTAAAGCTAATGTTCGCCGTTCTAGGGTGCGATCTAGGCCTCGGGATCTTGAACAACTCGGGCGTCGACTTTTCAATGAAATAGGAAAGTTCTAGAGAAGAATTGCTAGAAATTCCATGTTGAAGTTACGGAGCAATTGATCCGGAGTTGTTCAGGTCCCGCGGTGCTAAATCGTGGTCAGCGAATCGGAACGAGGCTTCCTCATACGGCGTTGCAGTCCATGAAGACGGTCCTGCAATCCTCTCCGTTGCGACCGCGTCGACTCGCGTCGTAGAGAGCGTCGAAGCCTACGCCGCTCTGCCTCTGGAGCAGATAGCTGGTCGCGTACCTGGAAACAATGAAAACGTGAATATTCGATCGTGGATAAAATTACAATTGGTGATGCATTCGTGGACACAAATTAGAAAGAACTTACGATCCAAATTGACAGAAGACGGACGACGTGCCTTGAGCTTTGGCAACGCACTCTGCACTCGCTTCGCAAAGAGCTCTCTCGGCGCAACCGCGTTGACCTTCATCCTCCGAGCGTCCAACGTTGTTAAAAGACTTTAGCGACCTCACGTAACCCTGAACAGAAAATCCATTCGAGTCAAATGTAAATTACCATCCGCAGAGAAAGGGTCTCGATTGTCTTTCGCTGAGCGTGGTACCTTCAGCATAGTGAGTGTCGTGACTGCAGCCTCGGAGATTGTGTCTCGCTTTCCCATGGATCTAGCCGCCAACGAACGGTGAGAGAACGATGTCTTCAACGCATCCAGGAGATTCACCACTATGTTAATGAACTGTTTAGGAAGAGTCGAATTATTTAATGCTTACGTGGTAACCTCTCGTTAAACTTCGATCCTTGAACATTTTTTACAATTTTCGCACGAGAATCGAAGGATTCTCGCAACGAACGAGTGCAAAGTGAATGGAATTGAAGCATTCTACGAGGGGAAAGCGTAAGAGTATTTCACCTCGACACCCTAGACGCTTCGCCAAGTCGTTTGCGTGCAAATTTCTTTAGTCTAGCGTAGTACGAACAAAAGTGTTCCACTTGTGACTGATTCATCGTAGTTGTGCGTTTGCATTTGGAGTCAATATGGGTCTCGTTTATTCAGGGGTACACCCTTCCAATTTACGAAGAGGATTGCTTCTGATCGCATGTGTCGAGGTTGCAAATAAAATGTAGACGTCTTGCGATGACTATATCTATTTAACACTAGATTCGCGAAGCACGCTCGGTTTAGCCCATTCCAAAACTGACAAGGTTTTACAGGAACCGTTTATATTTTTAGCCAACCTCTTATGATGACTTTTATCCATACAAAAATGCATATATTCAAATTCAATTTTGTTCGAGCCTCGTAATTAATTTTAGTAAATCGATTTCACTTATTAAATCGTTACTTCGGCAATAGGAATCTCTGCATACCTATTGTTAATCAAAAAAAATAATAAAACAGTTCAAATAGGTACAATAAGACAAAAGTTTCTTTTTTAATACGGGACTATATCGAACTGTAGTAAATTTTAGAACAAGATGGTCGATGAACCCATCGTGACTCCAAGTTCAAACTTTCGACGCGCCACTGTTACAATTACAATCGTCTCCCTTGGCGAAACGTCGAGCAGGTCGACCGGACAAGACGTTTCTTTACAATTTGTTCGATTGCGTACTAACCTCGGAAGCGTTTTTAGCCATGGAATAAATCTGATTAGGGTCTCTGTCTCGTCCTAGAAACGCGCCCAGCATCGCAGCCAATACATCCTAAACAACCGACACCAGCCATGTGCTCAGAGTTGAAATTTCGTTGATTATGTCGCGTCCAAGTTTGAAAGCCCAAGCGCAACGGACAGCGATTTACGCGAGTCTCGTCGCCAGCGAAGGACGTCGAGCTTTTCCTTCCGTCGACGATTAGAAAAACGTGAAATGATCGCTGGCCCGTCCAAAGAAACGATTTAATTCGTCCCCGTGCAAATTAAATCGCTTAGAAAACGTGAAGATCGTTAACGGCGCCGCGCCCCGTACGAAAATAATGATCGTTCTTTTAATTGCTCGTGGGGACAGTGGTCCTCGTTAACGTGGCCAACCGCGCGCTTCGAAAACCGATTTGTACACCGTTGCGATGTTTATCGTACGTAGAGACAGGTGAACAGAGTCGTGACTGAGTATTTGGGCAACTGGAAAGTAGTATAGCACCTTTCACCCTGTATATCGTTCGCTTTGCGACAAATATACAGGGCGTCCCAAAAATGTTGTAACACCTTGAAATGGGTGGTTCGGGAGGTGATTTGAAACAATTTTTTCCTTAGCGAAAATGTTGTCCGAGGCTTCGTTGAGGAGATATTAACGGAAAACACTGACCAATCAGAGCGCGAGAATGCCGTTGGAGCGGCCGCGGTAGCGAAGGCTACGCGCTGAACGGCCACGTCAAGGTCTTTCGATGCATGTCGAGTCACTTGTTCGCGTACGAGCGCGGCCGCTCAGCGCGTAGCCTTCGCTACCGCGGCCGCTCCAACGGCATACGCGCGCTCTGATTGGTCAGTGTTTTTCGTTCATATCTCCTCAACGAAGCCTCGGACAACATTTTTGCTAAGGAAAAAGTTGTTTCAAATCACCTCCCGAACCACCCATTTCAAGGTGTTACAACATTTTTTGGGACACCCTGTACAGAGTGGTTACCTACGAATGGGGTAAGGTAGGTTAAGCAGAATATACAGAGTAAAGTAAGGGGAAAATCAGGACAAGGACAGGTGACCCTCTCGTATCTACCTTGTCACGACTCTGCAGGGAAATTTCAATTTTCATTTCGTAATACATTCTACAGATGGAATGTAAAGTAATTTATTTTTCTTTCAAAGATTAGAACTCCTCTGTGTTTATTTCATGCTCAGCGACGTACAATCTACTGCATTAGAGGTGTGCTACTAATTCTAGTTAGCTATTTATTGTACAGCGTGCCGTGTCTAGTCTAAATAATTTACATGACGATCGAGTAGAACTATTTCATGGTAAACGTTATGGTACATTTTTTACGAACATTTCCAGATCAGTTTCAATTTCTAAAAAATTAAGATTGTTTTTAAACTCGAGAAATGTAATAGTTGTATCGTTGGTTTCTTTTGCCGTATGTTATTCGATTGGAAAATTGTTTTCTTCTATGATATTAATGCGCGTGTCATCGTATTCGTCACGTCGCTTCTTGAAGATGCAACGTTTCATCGTAATTGATTGCTTCGCGGATGTTACCAAGATTTCACACCAGTAAAAGCGTTGTCCGTTGAATGATTTCCACGTGCAGTTACCATGAAATAATTCGCGTCAGCGATGCAGTTGACCCACATCGAGCGTAACGGTCAGTTCAGCTTGTGCTTTCGTTACGCGACCTAAATCCCATCGCGATGAAAGTCTCTCTCGGAAACTTTGCTCTTGTTGCGCTCAATCACTCCCAACGATCATCCGGAGCGTCGTGTTCTGGCTGATATTTACAATTTAAAGTAAAAGGAAGCGCAAGACCGAGGAATATCAAACTTTTCCCACGTATTTATTCCTACTCGAAGAAAGTGCGGGACAATTTTTTATAAAATTATTCTTCAGCAATTTTCGAGTTCATAAAATATTGCCCGCAGTGCACGGAAGTATATTTTCTCGTTTTCCTTCTGCCAATTTTTATATTGGAATGTTATCCAAGTTATTTTGTCTTACTTCGTACTGTCCTATTTTGTACCATGGAATGAAATTTCATTAACACACTGCAGGCAACGATTGATAACGAGTACATCGAACGATTACATTCCTTGTAATTTCGTTCATTTTAAATAACTTAGACATCCTCCAGAACATGAGGCTCCAAATGGGAACACCCATTTAAATTCAGTTCTTTCGAGAAAACTAAAAATTGTTTAATGTAATTGTACGTAAACCACGTCACGGCTATTAATTCCCTACAATTTAAAAAATTGGAAGCGAGATGCACCGGATATTGTGTTCGAGTTACCTTCGTTGCGTTAAAGCAGAAATGACCGTGGTTGTTTTAGCGATCGACCAGAAAGGCGGACTTTGACCTACCTGCATCGTGCTGCTCTGATTGTCAACCTTGTCTATACCGTCAACAGGTTGCTGAGGACCACCCAATAAAGCTGTGAGGAGTCTCAGGCCAACAGAGAGCAAATTTGCCCAGGGACTGGCCGGTGCTCCGTCATCGATTTCGTTTTTACTAGGTCCAGCGACCCCGCCAGGTTGTCCAAGCAGCATCTGCATCACCATGCTCAACATGTTTGACCACGAGAACCCGCTGCTCCCGCCTTCCTAATAAAACAAAATATTGAACGTGAATAGAAATCGCGAAAGCGTCGTAGCAAATTTGAAATCGAGCTGTGACAACCCGAGGGATGGGTAGTTCAAATTTGTTGGCTGTAGTTTTGTCTGAGTTTACACATACGGGCGTTGAGAGTAGGAAAAGTAATTCAAGACATCAATGGTGGTATTTTAAGTGTTCCACATTGATGAGACACCCTCTGTATTATGGTCCATGCTGATTAGTGAACTGCGGATTTTATGGATTTATGGTGTACAGTAATACGGAAATCGTACAAAAAATGTACATAGTGTACGTTGAATATATTTTATTAGGTTGTCCCAAAAGTTTCTTTCCCTTTATTAATAAGTAATACATGCACAATATTTTATGTTTTATGTTACATTACTGAATTGTGCACGATTCATTTTGCTCCGTTACTGTTACAACATGAATATCTATGAAATTAGTTCGTCTATTTATATAAACACGACCACAGAAAATAATTGAGTGCAACTCGCGAAAGAAACTTTCGGGACAACCTAATACGATTAACATAGTACTATCGTTATTTCATTTCGCATAAGTGCACATATCTTTTGAATAGTTTTAGCACGTATTTATTAAATTAGCATTGTACCATAAACGCATAAAATCGGTAGTGAACCTTACAAACACTTGTAGAAACTACAATGTCGAAACATTGATAAACTGCATGTGAAAGCAGTCGAATGTCCGTGGAAAAAGTCGAAGACGCCTCGAATCTCAAAGGGTTAAATGCTTACCTGTCGCACAGGTGACCGAGGAGAAATTTATACGTGCTCACCTGAATCTGATTGGTGCCGATGTCGTCCAAATCGTCGAGCGCTACCTTTTTCATGGCGTTTGGCTTCTCGGCAAATTTTCTATCCTCCCTGACCTGTTGTTGTTGCACCTGCTGCGTGTACTGGGGATGCTGCGGTAAGGCGGCTGCTTGTCCCAAAACAAGCGCCACTAAGCACAGCGACAAGCACTGTTTGTACTGCATTCTGTAATAGATATTGCGTACACTCTGTATCATTGTAGTCTCTCTGTAAAGGAACAAGGATCATATTTTTTCTTTTAAATAGGATAATCACTCTTCCATTGCAGAATTTGATGGAATAGAGGATTAGAGTTTACTAGTGGCTCTGAAATGCGAACGTGCGAGTCCGAACGTGGCCCTCAGGGGCTGTAGTTACATTTGATTGTAGCTACAGTACGGGTTTAGCAATCCCGAGGTACCCGAGCTATAGGAGGCCCAGTGCAATATGATGTGCAAAACCATAGGCTTCGAATAAATCTGAAGTTTGCCGACATGTTTGTCTCGCTTCCTCTTTTGAACATTTTCCAAAGAAGGAAGCGAGACAAACATGTCGGCAAACTTCAGATTTATTCGAAGCCTATGGTTTTGCCCATCACTGGCCCAGTGGATCCCAAAAGACCTGCTAGCATCCTTAATAGGAGAATCACGAAGAGAGATCTCTAAGCGAATGGAAATGCAAAGTAACGTAAAGCAAGAATTAAATGAATATAAAGAAGAAACAAATGTAAGACCGGTGCGTTAGGTGTTACAGTCAAGTTACACGACTAATCGCACCCTTATAAAGAAAACTCAAACGCATTTCGAACGTGACTGTTTAACAGCGACGACGACGACGACGACGACGATGACTCAGAAGAGAAAACAAGAGTGAACGACCGAATTCATGGAGGATGCGAGAACTGATCCGGGAGAAAATCCGTGCTGGCACGAATATGTCACACGATCGACTCGGATTCATCGTGGAAAAGTAGCCCAGATGATTTCATACTCGTCCTGGTATGTAAAGGGACAGGATGTTTTAAAAGGGCATTCGAAGAGCTTCTTTCATTTTTTTATTTTCTACGCGCGCGTGAAGTTTAAAAACAATCAGTGGGGAACAGCGAAAAGCATCTCCTTGTAGGAGGACCCGAGAAACGCCCGGAGTTTCGCTTCTGTAAAGCCGATCACACGCGACGCAACCGATCAGTTTCAAACCACTCTGAAACTAGTGCAACGCGACCGCGGATCCAATTCTTCGGTAGGTAAATCAAAAGGTTGATCGCATACGGCGCAACCGATCAGTTTCAAACCACTCTGAAACTAGTTACATGCAACCGCGGATCCAATTCTTCAGTCGGTAAAACAAAGGTTGATCGCACACAGCGCAACCGATTTGAAATTAGCGTTGCAAACCGTTTGCGCTCTTTGTTTTACCTACTTCAATATCTTTGTTTTACCTAGATCCAGAGTAGTTTGAAACTGATCGGTGTGCGATCGGCCAAAGAGCGCAAACGTTTTGCAACGCTAATTTCAAATCGGTTGCGCCGTGCGCGATCGGCCTAGGAATCCTGTGGTTGCACGAACCTGAGGAACGACGTCGAGTAGCAGGAAAGTGTGTCAGAGCGGTTAAGGTCACCCTGGCAGCGGCAGGTAGCCCACTTCTTGATCGAAGCTACCGGTTTGTTGAACCCGACAGGTACCGTTACCTGTAAACGCGGTCGCGACCTACTGTGGTCCTCGTCCTCGTCGACTGCACCAGTCAAGCAAGTGGAAAAAAAAAGAGGAATATCGAGGAGAAAGAGACGATCCAGCGAGAAGAAATCGTGGAAATTCTTTCATCGATGCCACTAGTATCGCTTATAGTGCGGGTACAGAGAGATAGGCCTTGAATGTTGCAGATTCGAATCATGATTTTTGGAAAACGTTATTCATATCGAAACGAAATTCAGGTCATAGTCGCTGGGCTTATTATTAATGCGAAACTCAAATACTGTTTGTGATTTCTCTGTATCATTATTTTTTCTCCAATGCGCGTGAAATTTATTTTAATCGTATTAGATGTAGACATTGATTCTATCAACGTCGTATATTATCAGTTTCATTGGTCCCTTTATAGTGAATCGTTTAATATTTATTTTGTTTTTGTAAGCGCAAGCAAGAATATTCACTCGATACTTTGTTACGTTAAAGTACCAATTTTCTAAGTTTCTCGACCTGACAACCTGTGCCCCAATCTGATGGCCGTTACTATTTATCTACAAATATGAAATTCAGTAGCTTTAGAATTCATATAATTTCGCTTAATATGATTCCAACTGTAACAAGTAGTTGTAATAGTTATAGAAGAATAACAATGAACAAAATGTTATACTGCGTGTAATGTCCATCGGTTTGAGATTTAGGTGATCTGTATAAATGTATTTATGTACGTAATACGTACGTAATACGTATGTATATACATACTCTGTGATAGAGATCAGGTTGAGGACTTAGAAGGTTGGCACTGTAACGCACCAAAGTAAGTATATTGTCAGTTTAAACCGGAGATATAAATAAACATAAAGGAACAGTATTAATTTCTACACGTAATACAATAATAAAATGCTCTATTTCTTTGGGTACGTTATTGTTTTAAGAAGCCAACAGTTGAGAATTTATCTCCAAGTCGATCCGGAGAATTGAAATTTGGTAATTGCTGTTTTTTTTTTTGTTTTTTTTTTTATTCAATAATCAGATATGCAAAGTTTATGTTTGTCGATTTGTTCGATGCGCCTGCCAGTTGCACGCGAGAAGGATGTTCTCGTTGAAACGGAAGAATCTCATTTGAGCATTCCTAAAGGAAATAAAGCAACTAAATCGCGACTATCTCGCACGAAGAGCGCCACGCCTTTCGAAAACGGTACACGTCGCGCCCGGAAAAATCACCAACGATTTCTAACTGTACCCTGACACCTGCGGAAGGTATTTTCTACCTGTTCCGGGCTCGTTCCTCCGCTCCAGCCTTTGTGAACGCTTGATCTCGCATCGACGAGCACGGAATCGTAACATCATCGCACATTATAGTTCAACAATCCTTTAATTTCAGCCATAAACTGAAATTCACTAGAATTTCAACTTAAATAACTGATCAAAATTTAATCTAAATTGGAAGAAATTAGCAAGTGTTATAGGCGTATCACTAAACGCGAACTACGAATTTCATATTTATAGTTAACATTTTCACAAAGTAGCCCATACTTGCCGTCGAAACATAAAAAGAACCTAAACAAAATGTCGTCCGGATTAAATAAAAATGGTACGAGTTATAAAAAAAAAAAAACTACAAACACAGGAATTTTTAGTTTGTACATTTCATAGAAATGATTGTGACATTTTATAGAAATGTACACCTGCATTAATAACTTGCTGTGCATTTACATAAATTCTGAGCAAAGGACCGTATATTCGTGAGAACTACGTGGAAGACAATACAATCCTTAACAGTAGAATATAAACAGTTTAAAGAGAGAGCTTCGAGTGTCCCTTTGCCAGCTCTAAAACATTAGCCCTTCAACGGTTTAACATGTCTGAAAGATCGACTGTACAAACCCTAGAAGTCTATAGTTTATAATATGCAACAACCTATTAAAGAAGCTACTGCGAAACGTATTATCATCGACTGCGGTAAACCCATTGAATTCCGAAATAATTCGACAGAATAATAATAAACAATTGAAGCCAATCCTAAATGGAAATTTGAACGTCAGTCAGAAAATTCAGCTGTCAGAATCGTTTCTTGGAAGACGCAATATTTTGTTACCTTTACTAAATTTCAAGTATCTCACTGTAAATATTTCTACATGTCAGTGTCACATTCATAACCCGTACTTATACAATAACTTGAATAAGAAGAAGTTCAATTTATTAGTAGAAAAAGCCACGTTCGTCTTCCAAAAATAGATTACTTGCAACCCATTTTTTCTAATACATTAACAACAAACAAATATTACAACGTTAAAGGTATAGAATACTATCGTAATACGATGCAAACAAATGAAAGTCAAACATACGCATGTGTCAGAATATCCATTCGATAGTTATTTAATATACTACTCGATGTTAGAAAATGATATTGGTTTTTCTAGCCTGGAATATTTCCATTTAATTTCCCTTTAGCGAACGCCTACGCTGTTTGTTCCACGCGTCACTCGAAACTAAAATGTTGAAGTGATCTGAGGTTGAAAAATGAAGTAAAGAGTTCAAGGTCTTTATGGTACTTACGTGCTCGAATAATGTCCCGAACGTGACTGTAGCAGGGAAGCGGATTGTCTAGCTTCCTGGTAACGTGTGCAAGACGCCAGGCGAACTGTACTCACTTCGTTACTTCCAGGTGGACTTCCTTGACACTGACTCTCGACTCTGAAGATGAAATTCCTCGCGGGGCCTGCTATATAGCTTGCGCGGCCACGTGGGGGTAGATCGCACGGCCAATGACCATGCACCTTTGGCGTTATTTTCAATGGAACTGACCAATCCTCTGGCGTTAGTTGAACGCGTAGGACCTGAAGAGCTACTTCTTCGACGAGATTCTATAGTCACGACGTCTCAGACACCTTCTATTTTAACGAACGAACGGAAAGCGAGAATTCCGAAGATTCTTTACTGTTCTAGGTGATTCTTCAGGTCCTGTGGACGTTAACAATCGGTGACTCGAAACACCTGTGCGTCGAACGCCTTTAGGCGTTCAGGGAGCGTGCTTGCGGAAATATGAGTATAAGGATTTCGCATGGAAATGTTTGCATTTGAATGTCGCAGGAGGACTTAGGATAATACTTGAAGGAGAGGTGTCTGGCGATCTAATGTTGGCCACGTTTTACAAACGGATTGGATTTTTTTTAAACTGTTAAGAGTCTTTAAACGATGTTTTACGAGAACGAGTTGGTGAATAAGGGCGAGTACCCATGATCGATAAATTTTGTTTTCACTTCTTGTTCCGAATAATTAGATATTATTATTCTATTTCATCAAAGGTAAATACGTAATATATCTAAAATTATATTTCTTGTTGTAGACGGATACTTTTTTATCTGTATCCTCGAATCAAATTATTTTCAAAATTTCAGTCTTCCAGCGCGTTCCATTCTCGAGATAAAAATGAAATAAATATCCCATGACTCTAAAATAGACTCTTGGCTTAAATAGTAAAGTGACTACAAATGAGAATTTCATCTACCACTATTCATCTATACACGAGTTTTTATTAATCAATGTTAAAGTTTTCTCTTTCCTTGGTCGCATGTCAAGCGCAATTTTCTTCTGGCTGTTTCCGCATGGAAGAAAATATTAGGTCAGGAAGTTCAAACAGTACCATTTCCATGGGGTTCGTTTAGAACATTTACATTTATTTACAATCGCATATAGTTTGTATTTACAATCACATATAAACATTTGCGATAACTACTTTTGGGTTTCGAATGTTACGAGATAATATAAACTTGGTTTTACCTTCCAAAGGACTCCTGGTACTAAAATGGGGGAGGGAAGTGCTGATGAACCTGTTAACTAATCGTACCGTTCCTTTTGAACACCAACGATTTATATGATACACAGTTATGCGAAGCAAAATGTTACGTGCAATATAATAATGTAAAAATAATCAACTCGAGCTGAAGGGAGAATCAAAGTCGTCTAGCACCCGTCCAGAGATGGACAAAATTTTATTCGAATAACGGATGACAGAATGATACTCTAAATAACGATTTGTAATCACTAGACTGCGGATTTTTATGCATTTATAGGAAATTAGAACGTCCAAGAAACTACAAAATGCATGCAGTATGCAATAATATAAAAAAAATATCTTGCTTCAATTTTTCAATTCAATTCAATTCAATATCTTTCAATTCAATTTTTGTACAATATGTACGTTAGTAAAATAACGCAATTTTAATTTGCATACAGATCCACAGTTTGATAATCATCGTCCATACCGTTCAACATCGAGAGAAACTCTTATTAATTTAGCAAGAAATATAAATTCATTGCACACTTTAGATCGCAATTTTGATATAAAGTAAACGATAATATTAATCTGGATAAGAAATTTGTCCATGTCTGTATTTTTCTCAGCTAACGATCGAAGCTTGTTCTCCCTTCGCGTCGCAGCCGATCGAATCTCGGTTAACGCGCTAAATCTACCCTTAGTGCAATGGATAAACGTAAATAAATATCGTGATCTTCGTCGAGGCCTGTGCGAACGTCGGTTCACGGTTCATTCAGGCCTCGAACCTCGTCAGCCTGCTTCTACGGCAAGCGTTTCCTGTTCCACTTGAGCGTGCAATTGTTCACGATCTCGTATCTCTAATAGAGTTTCTCTACATCTTTCTCAAGACTTCTTCTTTTTCATAAACGAACTGTCAGTATTTGTGGAAAACTTTGAGATCGCCACAGAAACCGAGAGTTCTGGCAAATTTTAACGAACCCATAAATTAACAATCGATTAAAACTGTTCGAGAAACGAGAAACGAGACAGTCATAAATATTCGAGATGAAACGCGACTCGACTGCGAAACGTGATCTCGATTCTTGCACGTCTCTCGGGCTACTGATACCCTCGGCCGTAATCGGAATGACTCGGGATCATTCGTGGCACGCGCTTCGAACGTGGAAGAATTTAAATATGTCGAATGATATGGAAATATTACTTGTTTTGATAGATAGAATGTTATTCCATAATAGAGACACTGTTTAGCGATTTATTATAGACGTGTCTATTCGTTCAATGTAAAATTTCATTTCATTTTATAGTTTAAATTGCAGTTATCACTGAATAAGTAAAGACCTCGGATCAATTATTTAACATTTCACGAAATTTGCATGTACGTATGTATATTTACGTTATCTTACCTTACGATCTTTATTAATTTCTCAGAAGCTTTTAAATAATTTTCCTAAACAGAGACACCCCTTTTCGCTCGATCAGAGTACTTCACCGTCGGCATTTTCAACGTTCGTGGGACAAGAGCCTCGCATCCTCTCAGAACACCGTTTCGTTTCTTGCAGGATCTCGAACAGCTCCACAATTAATTAATCGTAACGGGCCTGCCGAAATTAATCGATTAATCCTTTCGATTTGAAGGTGTTCTTTAGGGGTGTGCGGGATCCCGGTCGGGACGGGAATTTCTCCCGGGATCGGGATGGAATCCCGAGAATTTCAAAATCCCGAATACATCCGGGATTCTCGTGAATTTCCGGGATCCCGAAATCATTCGGGATTCCCGAGAATTTCGAGATCCCGTAAATGTTCGAGATTCCCGAGAATTTCGAAAACCCGTACATTCGGATTGCTGACATTTTCAAGGTTAACAACACTTTCCGAAATCCCCGATATTATTCTATATCCCGTACATTGTTCGGGAATCCCGAACATTCTCAAGATCCCGTACATTCTCGGGAATCCCGGATTTTTGCGAGATCCCGTACATTCTCGGGAATCCCGGATTTTTGCGAGATCTCGTGTATCCTCGGGAATCCTGAATCAACTCGGGATCCCGGATAAACTCGAGAATCCCAAATGTTCTCGGGAATCCCGCATAAACTCGAGAATCCCGAATGTTCTCGGGAATCCCG